GGGAGGGGAGAGGAGGAGGAGTTAATAGTGTTTCATTTATATCCCATCCCGGCCACTGTGTGACTTTGGACATTAAGCTATCCTTATTTGCCTCCAAATAAGGTTATCATCTGTCAAGGGTCATCATACAGACCTCACAGGTTCTATCACCGTCGTTGAATAAGAACATGAACGTTAGATTAGTTTAACCTTGGAAGCGTCCTGAGCAGGACAGCATGCAGGATGTGCTCCTACCGTTACATAGTTCAGCTCCTATAACATCATCTTCTCAAAAAAGGTTGGCATTTTTCAAGGATCCTTCTGACTCCAAAATCCTGGGGCCCCCTCCCACAGTGATTCTTAACCAGGATGCTGTCAATGAATTGAGAAGAATGTAGAGTACCCCTTGTTTTTATTGCATTTCACAAATACTGTATTTTCACAAATTGAAGGTTTGTGGCAAGCCTGCATTGAGCAAGTTGAATCGGCACCATTTCTCCATCAGCATGTACTCACTTCACATCTCTGTGTCACAGTTTGGTAATTGTCACAATGTTTCAAACTTTTTCCATAAACATTATTGCTCGCATAATAGGGAATCTCAGTGGATTAAGTGCTGGGCTACTCATAGAAAGGTCAGAGTTGGAAGCCACCAGCAGTTTGGCTGGAGAAGGACGAGGCAGCCGGCTCTGGCAAAGAGTTACAGCCTTGGAAACACAAAGGGACAGTTTTGTTCTGACAGCTTAGTGGTAAGGAGTTGCACTACCAACCCAAACATTAGTGGTTTGAAGCCACCAGCTGCTCTACCAGAGAAGCATGGGGAAATCTCCTCCCTTGTGGTTTACTGTCTCTGAAAACCCGCTGGAGGGCCAGTTATGGGTTAATTCCAACTTGACTGTGCGCAACACAGGATCATTGTAGGTCAGAAACAACTTGACAACAGTGAGTTTTTTGAAAACCAAGGCATTTGTGTGACTTGCTTTATTTTGCTATTCGCTTTCTTGGGGTTGTCTGGAACAGAACCCTCATCTCTGAGATATGCCGGAGGTGGTTACTGTTAGGTGCCATTGACAAGGACTCATAGCGACTCTGTGAACAACAGGTCAGAATCTCGCCTCACCTGCACTGATGTCTCGCTCTCCCACATGCGCAAGCTCACAGGTGCAGTCACTGTGTCTGTCAATCCATCTCACTGAGCGTCTTCACTCTCTGGCAAGATTCAAATTGCTCTTACAATCACACAACACAGCAGCAGGGAGAGCGGTGGGGTGTCAAGGACAGATCCTTCCCAGCAGCCCGAAAGGCCGATGCAATTGTACCCTGCTTGTAGATGAAGAGAGAGAGGCTGAGGAGGTCGCCTTCAGGTGTATCTCAGTGTCCCAGCCACACAGCACCATCTCAGGAGGGTGACTCACCCAGAGGGGTCTCTGAAGGGATTAAAAGGGTCACAGTGAAAGGATCGGCTGGAGGAGGGTGGGTGTGGGGGGATAGAGAGACCAGGCAGGGGCAGCCTGACTCTTCCATGCCTGAGGTGTCTGCAACAGATTCAATGAAGGCATCAAAGAAGTCAACGGAACAAGGGGCATGAGGAGAGGGAGGCCATCACTGCAATGAATGAATTGGGAGAAAAGGACACTCTAGACCACTTGAATAAATTTCACTTGATTGCAATTGTTATGTCGAGTCAGAACCAACCCAGAGCTGACCCTGGGTAGTAAATCATACAGGAGGTGATTGCCCATCCTTCTCCCATGGAGCAGCTGGTGGATTCAAACCAGGTGCCATTGCAGCGGCAGAGCCACTCTTTGCCACTAGGCCACTGGAGCTCCCTCCCTTCAACCTTACTGTTGCTTTGTTCTGTGCCGTCGAGTCAGAACTGACTCATAGCTGGCTCTCCAGTGGGTTTTCAGAGTGTTAACCTTATTAGAGGCTGAACTCTTCACACCCATTTAGGAGAAAAGTGTGTGTATCTGGGTGCATATATACATTTGTTGCCTTGCACATGGCTGACGGTCACGCTAGACACAGAGCACTGAGAGAATGTTCTAGCACTGAGCAATATATGAGGACGTCCCTATCATAGAACACCTTCACTGGGGGGGCTGCTCTTCCCTCTCTGCACCAGTCACCAAAGCCTAGCAGAGTAAGAACCCTCAAACCCCTTGTTCTGGGGTAGATGTCCATCTATGGCAACCCCACGTTGTTGAAGGAGAGCTGTCATCCACGTGATTGACAATGCAGATCTTTCGGATGCAGATCACCAGGCCTTTCTTCCAAGGTACATCTGTGTGAACTTAGCCCTCCCACCTTTAGTTATCAGCCAAGCACATTAACTATTTGTACCACCCAGGAACTCCAGCATGAGGAAAAGGGCATGTGTTTGGCCAACCAACAGTGTGATAATAAACCAAGATCAATTTCCTCTGATTTTTCCCTTGCTGTTGTTAGGTGCCCTGGAGTCTAGCACAATCCACAGCATCCCTCTGATGAACAACAGATCTGCACCCTGTCCTATCCTGTGCCATCCTCACAATTTCTGACACATTCGAGATCATAGCTGCAATCACTGTGTCAATCTATCTGTTTGAGGGTCTTTCTCTCTTTCATTCACGATCAACCTTCTCAAGCATGATGCCCCTCTCCTAGCAACATGCCCAAAGTAAGTGAGATGGAGTTTTAATCATCTCTGCCTCCAGTGAGCATTCTGGTTGCACTTTCTCCAAGATATACCTGTTTGTTCTTTTGGCCATCCATGGAATAGTCAGTGCTCTTCTCCAACACCACAGCTCAAAGGCACCAGTTTTTCTTGTCATCCTTCTTCACTGCTCTCAGATGTATAGCAAGTGATTGGAAATACCATGGTCTTTTCAAGCACACTTTAGTCCTCAAACTGACTAGTTTTTTGTTTTGTTGTTGGGTTTTTATGTGTGTGTGGTTTTTTTCACTTAATAATCATTTATTACACCGACTCTGTCCCCCAGCATTTCAATTCTTACCTATCTAATCCAAACAACATATGAGATGAGTTGTGGAAGGCCCATGTTTAAAGACGAACACAGGAAAGTGGACTCAGAGTTGAAGTGACTGGCCACAACCAAGATGAGGGCCCCAGCCAAGTCAGTGGACATATTGCTGGACAGTGCTCACTGTGGGACCAGCAATGTCCACTGCCTAGTGCTCACATACACCGCGAGATCCAGCTCCATCTGACCACAGTGGAAACCGGCTGCCAGGTGAGAAGGGCTTCAACCCCAGGTCACCCTCAAGTCCAGGTCACCCTCATGAAAGCATATTCCATTCTCCATTTGTTCACCTTTTTAAAAAAGTTGGTTTTCATACAATAATTAATTTACATTGTGTTTCATCCATATACATTGTGTTCCATACAATCCCTCATTTACATTGCTTTCCATATAATCATTCATGTAACCCCAGACACCACCTTAAAGCTGCTCACACTTATTTAAAAATGTATAGGAGTAAAGTATCTCAGTCACAAAAGGACAAATACTGCGTGGTGCCACTGTTGTAAAACAGGACTGACATCGGGGTTAGGGGAAGACTGAGAAAGACGGGATAAATAATGTATACTGCATTAAAACAGATGAGGGAGAAAACTGTTTAAAAGGAATATGTGATTAGGTATTTTTGTCATGCCAGGAGTCCAGAGCGAAGGCTGCATAGTGGAGTGCACCTGGGGGGAGGGATTGTAAAACAATGAAAGAATTTTTCTTTTACTTTTCCAAGAGGGGAGTGTACTGGGACGGGGGGGGGGGGGGGGAGGGGGTGTGGAGGGGAGAAAAGTGCAACAATGAATGAATGGAAATCCAAAGTCTCTGTAAATTTTCATTGAAATTAATAAATTTTTTTTAAAAAAATGCATCTTGAGTTTTTCAAATGAGCTGACTGTGGGATGTGGGCCAAGGATTGGATTTCTGGAGGCACCTTCAAGCCCCAACCCCCGAGGCTTGGGAATTAAGGCTGCAGCAAAACTTTTCTGTCTTCAAAGCAAACCAAAAAGGCTCTGACATGGAGTGAATCCTACTCCTAGCGACCCCATAGGACGCACTGGACCTGCCCCATAGAATTCCTAAAGCTGGAAAGCTTTAAGAGGCTGGTGGATGTCAACTGCGGGCCTGTCGGATTTAGCAGACCAATGCTTAACACACGGCACTACTTGGACTCTGCACAAATGAGCTCAGAAATTCATCAGCAACTTGAGTTACTGCGCAAGCGTCTTCCTGGAGTCCTGCGGGCTGAACAGGCACCCTCCTAGGCGCACCCACTTCCAGAGGGGCGGGGGGGGGGTGCAGCGACTCCCATTCCTCCCGGAGATGGTGCAGGCCAGTCTCCAGCCAATCAGATAACTTCTTTTATCGCCGCTTCTAGCTACCAACTGTGGGAGCGTCTCTTCCCGGAACTTTCCAGCAGGCTGGGGGGCGGGAGAAAATGATGATTGACATTACATCAAAACCATTAGCCAAGCACGTTGAGTTTGAGGAGCAGATACGGCGACGAATTGTCTCACAAGATTAGGTTTTACGCCCCGCCCTCCTCTTACCACTCGCTTTCTAAGAGGTCTCCGGGGGGGTGGGAGCTTTCTGTAATAGCCAATCAAGTGACAGGAAGGGGAGAAAAGGGGCGGGGAGCCTGGAGTAGGGTTGAAAGGCTAGCGCTTTAGGCAAGACTGGTGCTAGTTGGTTCTCTCTCTTATCGGGGCTCCCGTATTCTGGGGCTCCAGAGTGGGGAACTGAGCCTCTTCTCTAGCACCTTTCAGCCTGCTTTCCGAGACCTTGACCCCCGATTCCCCATTCTTCCCTGGGGACTGTAGTTCCCGAGACCTGCACCCCTGCCAACGCAGGAGGTCCAGCCCGCATCTGTCCCCCTCCCCAAAGCTGTCACAGACCCCGTAAGAGTCAGCCCTACGTCTGCCCTTGCTGTGCTTGGCCCCCCAAAGCCACCCCACCAGCGTCCGTAGCAGCTGCGCTTCCCCCGCCTGGTCGCTGGTGGTGCTCGGTTACCATGGTGAAGCTGGCAGCCAAGTGCATCCTGGCAGGTGAGTTTGAAAACTTGCGGTGAAGCTGGTGGTCTCCAGAGTCCACATGCTTCATCATATATCGAGAGCCTTTGTTCACAGGAATTGTCTCCCCTCTTTTCCTTGCTCGTACCCCAAACGTGAGGTAAGGCAGTTACTACTGCTGGAGTCCATTCCATGAGGCGTGGAAGCATGATCTTCCAGCGCAGATGTGTCTCTCCAGCCTCCCCTCCTTGCTCCCTTCAGCAGTTTGAGCTGTACTCTGGAGGAGCGGACTCATTCAGAAATCAAGCAAAGCATAAATATGCTTCAGCTGAGGCGTGTGCTCGTAGAGTGGCTCCCTTCTCATGCAGCAGCACTTTGAGTGCTCCCTAGGCCTTCCAGGATTCCGACTTTTCTCAGGCAGATCACCAGCCCTTTCTTCCACAGTGCCTTTGGATAAGTTCAGACCTCCAACGATATGATTAATAGCTGAGCCCTTAACCATTTACACCATCCAGACACTTAATTCCTCCCACAGTTAGGCACCCGCGACTTTGATGATCTGTAAATGTGGCATCAGGATTAGAGGAAGACTTAGCAGTATCCTGCATGATGCAGGTGACACAGCCCTGCTTACTGAAACTGAGGAGAACCTGAAACACTTGCTTCAGGTCAAGGACTGCAGCCTTCAAAAAGGATTAAAGCTCAACTTCCAGAAGACAGAGATTCTCACCCCTGAGCCAGTTGGCAGCCCCATGATAGAGATGAGATTGAGGTTGTTCAATTTTAGCTTGCTTGGGTCCACAATCAACACTCTTGGCACCAGCAGTCAGGAAATCAAAAGACTAATTGCATTAGGGAAATAATGCTGTCAGGGACCTCTCCAAAGTGCTAAAGAGCAACAATGTCAGACTAGAGACTAAGGTGTGCCTGATCTAAGCCATGGCCTTTGTAATTACTTGTTATGCACCGGAGAGCTGCACAATGACTATGGATGACAGAGAAAGAAACAGTGCCTTTGAGTTGTGGTGCTGGAGAAGAGCACTGAACATACCATGAAGCACCAAAAGAACAAAAAGGTCTGTCCTAAAGTGGGTGAAACCAAGCTGTTCCTTGGAGGCAAGGGCTTTGAAACTCTTCCCATATTTTGGGCATGTGGCCAGGAGGGACCAGTCATTGGAGACGGCCATCATGCTTGGAAGGGCGGAGAGTGAGTGACGGAGAGGAATACCCAGATGAGATTGAACAGTTACTGGGACAATGGAGTAGGTGTGTCAAACACAGTGAGACTGGCTCAGGATAAGGTGAGGTTCAGAGCTTTTGTGCCTCCGGTCACTGTGAGTCACAGGTGACTGGTCGCCACGTAACAACAACAACAAATTATGGAATTTCCCCAGCCCCACCTTCTCTGGTAGGTAGTTGCCTTGAAGTATGTCTCTTGACAACAGTTGTGTGCAGAGCAGTTCCTGGGGTCTTAAAGACTGTCACCTTTTAGCAACAGATCTACCAACCAGCCTGTCTTCCAAAGTGCCTGGTGATGGGTTTGAACTGTGAGCCAACCCTTTGTCAAGTAGCGAGTGCTTATCCTTTTGCCCTAGCCAGCAACTGCTGACAGCAGGCTTCAAAAACTTGCAAAAGGACAAATACTGCATAGTGCCACTGTTGTGAAATGGAACTGACATCAGGGTTGGGGGAGACTGGGAAAGATGGGATAAATTATGTATACTGCATTGAAACGGGAAGGAGAGAACTGTTTAAAAGGGATATATGATTAGGTATTATTGTCATGGCAGGAGTCCAGAACAAAGGCTGCATAGTGGAGTGGACTTGGGGGGAGGGATTATATAACAATGAAAGAATTTTTTTCTTTTATTTTTCAAAGAGTAGAGCGAACTAGGGGTGGAAGGGAGGATGGGTAGGGGGAAAAAATGCAACAATTAATAGAAATCCAAAGTCTGTAAACTTTCATTGTTGTTGTTGTTATGTGCTGTCGAGTCATTTGCGACTCATAGCGACCCTATGTACA